CCCCCCCCCCCCCCCCCCCCCCCTCAACAAGTAGACTTTAAATCACACACGAAACCAAATGCTGTGCTTTTATTCATTTAATTATTTCATAAGAATCTTCCAAATGGATTCAAACTTTTCCTTGCGTTTACGCACGTGTGAAAAAACGTTTACGTAACAACAACAACAACAACAACAACAACAACAACAACAACAACTATCGAAATATACATGCATACCATTCACATGACTTATTGCGATGCATAAATCTTCGTTGCCGTTGGTTCTTGATTTTAGACAAATTTGAATAACTGTTCGTAAGAAGCCGTTGAAAGCTCGCTCATTGTTGTGATTGTTGCCGTAATTGTTACTCATCAGTAAAGCCTGTTTTCCACTAGGCGGAATTTTGCGCGCGGAGCGGAATTTTTCTTTGTCTTGTGATTTCTCGGGTGGAACTAATTAGAAAAGACAAAGAAAAATTCCTTAACAGCGCGAATAACATTTTCTAAACGGATTTTCTAGTTGAAGTGGGGAGTCAATATTCGAACATTCACGAGACAGCATGTCACATGCTGTCGTAATAGCTTGTAAAGTATTTTTGTCTTTAATCTTAAGTACTCTCAACAACAAGCTGGAATTTTGGAATTCCTTTGAGGTCCTTTGACTTTGTGTGGGAGTGAGCTTTCAAGGGCTATTACCATCAGTGCTATACTGTATATTAATACTTACGAACAGCGCTCTGCTTATACGAACGTATTATTCAAATTTGTCTAAAATCATAGTTAATAGAATAGATGGTTTGGAAACTCATTAGAATAACAATATAAATCATTATCTATGTTAGTCAACGTTTATTTACAAATCTGGTCGTTCACCGTCACATGTGTATTGTATTTTTGCCCAACTAACCAATAGCAATGTTTTAGGAAAGTCACCTATCCGTGACTCGAACAATAGGGGAAATTGGAAACTGCTATTGGTGGATTTGGCAAAAATACAATACACATGTGACGGTGAAGGACCAGATTTATGAATAAACGTTGACTAACATAGATAATGAGTTATATTGTTATTCTAATGAGTTTCCAAACCATCTATTCTATTAAGTATGCTAACTAAAATCGAGAACCAACGAAGATTTAAGGAGCGTTTCTTTTGTAAATCTAGATTTGGATTTTTAGGATTCGGATTTTTTGGATTCGTTAAACAAATGGAACGAATTGTGAGAATCGGAATTCGCCTGCTGTTTTCCCGCCATTTTTTCTGTCCCACTATACCTTTCGGTCGGGTCAAGGTACATGCTAGGAGGCCAGAAACTCAGAAGGAACGTTGAATCCTAATCAAGATTCAGATTGAATTCGAAAAATCCATATGTTGAGGTGGATTCATCAGATTCGAATCTATTTTAAGATTTTGTTAAATGAAACTGAAAATCGATAATCGGATTCGAAGATCCAAATCAGGATTGTACTAAAGGAACGCACCCTTAGGTCCGACGAGGATTTATGTAGTTCGCTGCCTCGCAATACGTCATGTGAATGTATATGATAACTTCCTGAGTAAGCATATATCAAGAGCAAACGAGGTGAAGAAGTAAGCACATTCTAGAAACAATCCAGTTAAAGTTTCCAAGTTAAATTTAGGCCTAACTCATTTTACGGTTCAATTTATAGTTTATCTATGTAGGTATAGGTCTAAACAGCTATTTTTGCAAGTATTTTTGTCTTTAATCTTAAGTGCTCTCAACAACAGGCTGGAATTTCGTTTGTGTGGGAAAGACTGAAACTTTGCGATCAATAGAAAGCTACAAGTTTCCTAAAAACGTTGGTAACACGAATGAGGGTCATGACTCATGAGCTTGATTTGTATTCAGATATAAGAACTATCTTCTACCGCCCACTTCAATGACGTTTTTGTGCGATATCTTATTATATATGCCGGGAACAGCAGGGGTGAGATGATTGCACCATGAAGCAACGGGTTAATATTATGATCACAACGCACTAATAAGTAACAGAGAATAACAGTAGGTCAACAATAATGTCGTTCTCGTCCCTCTTCAAGGACGTTTTGGGTATGTTGTTTGGAGGTTCGTTGCCCACCAGCAACGATGATTCGTTTTGGGAAGAGGTTTGTTCGACCTTCCCCGACGCTTCGTTTAGTTCGAAATCGGAATTCATTGGAGATTGTTTTGGATATAAGGAAAAATTTGAAGCTTTGGTGGAAATTGACCATGTACGGCAACATGAGAACGATTTGCTGATCCTGAGGTTAGAAATGCTTACTTGGAAAACGCAACAGCTTCTGGAAGAAAGGAGACAACTCGTGAACCAGACGGGAGATTTGAAAGCGCATAACAACAAGCAAGAAAGGCTAGTGGTATTCTTGAGAAGTGAAGTCGAGAGACTTGCTGCAGCCTTAAATGTTCAACAAGGAGAAACCAGCAGTCTTTCGCAAGCGGACGTTATTGAAAACTTGCAGAACGAGAACAAAAAGTATGGGCAAAAACTTAAAGATAATGAAGAAATCATTAACCTGTTAACGACACAGCTCGATATGGTACCCGAAGAAGCTTATAGGGGAAGAGAGGATACATACCTCTGTCAATGTGGTTGCACCCCACATTGCGTCACCCCACAGCGTCAGGTTCGATACATCCACCCATACCATCCAGTCGATGAATTATGGCAGCTGCATGAATAGAGACCTTACGATTTTAGAACGGCAACGCGACGGCGACGGCCAAAACAAACTCCTTCAAATAAATGGTAGTAAAGATAGTTCGTCGTATATTATCAATCGTATAAATTTAATACAGTTTTATAAGTTAAGACATGGGTTTTATGGTTGAGAAGAGTTCTGCTAAACCCAGTTTGAAGTTGCACTTGTTGCGGCTTGAAATGCAGCCGTTGTATCAAGACGTGAAAATATGTGATTTGGCGTTGTAAACAGAGCGAGGACAATGTGTAAATTATTCATATATTGTAATTATTCAATTATTTTCAATGATTTATTGTATTGGAAGCCGTTGCCGTCCTAAAATCGTAAGGTCTCTAATAACACAGAGGGGACGAGGGGCTCTAAATTATATTGATATTTCTATCTTGATAATATTTTTATCTCCTTTCCCGGAATTAACATCCAATGCCATTGTAGGATTCAATTCTGCTTCCGGTTTTATTTAGTATTCATATATAATTCAAATATATTGTAATTACGGAACACGCGTGTAGTCGTGCGTTCAGTACGTTTGGACTTCGTCTTGCAGTGTTAAACAAATGAATAACATTAATAACGTTTAAAATTTAGAATATAGTCTCTATAAAAATAATTATAATAATAATGATAATAATAATGTTAATATCTCATTATCTGTAATAATAATAAGTGTGATATAATAATCAAATAAATAATTGATAATAATAGTTTCTGTCTCTTTCAGACAGAGTCTGTACTGTACTATTGTTTATAATATACGCGGGTATATAGAATAAGCGTATGGGGTTGATGCTTTCCGGGGACGGAGCATTTTTATGGACATTTTTATGGTCGATTGTAATGAAATATCCAGAATTTAACATATTATCTGATACATCTGCCCGAATGTTCTTGATTTTTCCTAGCATTTGCCCGAATTTCTATGGTTTTCTAAAAATTATTTTTTGGGTTTGGTTGGGGTTGGGGGGGGGGGCAGTTAACCCTGCCCGCTGTTTCATACGCCTATTGTATACAGTATAAGTAGCCTGCAAAGATCCTAACCTGCGAGCGTCCATTGTACTGCATGTATTTTATTAAAATACTGTCTACTGTGTAGCGGTGTACCGATATAGAAATTTACCAATATTCTGATAATCGATCAATCTCGTTCCCAGAGTATGCCTGTTCGCGGGTTATGTAGTGCATAACCCGCGAACAGGCATACTCTGGGGAACGAGATTGGTAACCGATATTCAAGGGCCGATACTGATATTCTATTTTGCTTCGAAATTCACAAATGACAATTAGACTTACTGTAAAAATTTATCATAATTATGAGTTGAGAGTGGTCAATCACGTATTAACACTTATCATACATGTATACATTGATAACATCTTTCAATATGGCTATATATTGAATTTATAATTATTTATTCGGGTCACTGAGTTGTGTACGTTACACTCAAATTGAAATCAAAAATATATTTTAAATTTAAAATATGTTGTATAAATCTGTTATAATGTAATAGCGATAATATCGGCAAGTACTTTAAGGAGAATTAGGCAGATATACCGATATCCAATACGCTGATATGGATATCAAATACATGTACAGACCTACAAATAATGTTATGTTTTTCCACAAATTTTTAGCAATAATGTTGGCGATGCCTCCCCTCAGACTGCATTTTCTGGTCTCATCAAAACTTTTGAAAACAAGCAAGCTACCCCTTCTGGTCCTTCGTTTGATCATTGTTCAATGCCAGCTCGTCAGTCGGAGTTATTTCTTCAGGTATGAACAGGAATGCAAGGGGTAATATGTAATACAGGGTACGAATTAAGAATTTTCTGGCCTACAATGAATTTCAAAAATTGTAGACCATGCTACAGTTTTGACCTTCAAATTTCAATTTTGATCTACAAAATATTTTTTGGAATATTCAATTTTAGTTTTGTTTTGCGATGGAAATTTTTGTTTTGGACTGTTTAGTTCATAATTTTGTGTTTTTAATTTAAATCAAGGATCACACAAGAGGTTTTTGATAATATTTTTTTCTTTTTTTTTTATCAAAAACCTCCTGTGTGATCCTTGATTTAAATTAAAAACACAAAATTATTTAATATGAACATAGGTGAAAGTTTCAGAAAAGCAATTGTTTAGTTCATGTTTCTCTTTGTCTGACAAGAAATTTAATTGCCTAGGGATTCCGAGAGATTCCTACAAATTTTCCCATGAAATTGTAGGCCGCTAATTTTTTGACCTGTAAAACTGTTTTCTCGCACAACGATTTGTGTTTTGTTGGCCGGCTAATTCGCACTCATGCACGAACTGGGTTAATTTGAAGTTATCCCGCCAAAACAGAGTTAATTATTTTCGATTAACAGGAAATTTTTAACTTGTTTCTTGAGCGTATATATCTGATCGATACAGACGAGAAATTTGATGAAAAGGAAAATCTTGTAGTGTGACTGACTTATAGGGTTTGCTTTGCCTGACTATTAACTTCAATGAATGTTTTGTTGTAGATATTTCTTGAGTTTTGGATGAACCATGGTGTAGATAGAGAAGGAACTCAGTTGTTTGCACCTCTTGGTCAGGTAGGATACTTGGTTTCCTATTATATTTTCAACTCAGTCGTATGAGAATACCAAACACCGGTATAGTCTGGTATTACCAAACACCGGTAGTCCGGTATTACCAAACACCGGTAGTCCGGTATTACCAAACTCCGGTAGTCCGGTATTACAATACCTAACACCGACAGTTCGGAATTAACCCATTGAGTGACAGCACGGCGCTCCTCTTGATACGTAAAATTATCTGATGTTAGACAGAGTACTGTAAAATGATGAAGTGGGGCGCATCAAAGCAATTGTCACTTAAAGGGTTAACAGGATCCATGAGCAGATACTGTAGGCTCATTAACCCATTGAGTGGCAGCACTCTGTCCTTGACAAGTAAAATTGCCTGCGTTAGACAGAGTAAAATGGGGTGCATCAGGGCACATTTTTCGCTTAAATTGTTAATAATACTGAACCAACCAATTAGGGAGAGCACTTAAAGCTTCACTAGGGGCCCGGACAGTTTAAGACTGATAGAACTAGGCAGTATAAATAAAGTTAGTTTATTTTGCATTTCTGTAGTAACATAGGATCGATAAGAGATTTCTTTTGTTCAGGATTATTTTTTACCAAGTGTGGATCACGTTCGTGTTGTGAGAATGTTAGTGAAACACTTGCATCTTTTTATGAATGTCAACATGAACAACCACACGGCAGTCACTTCTAATAACGAGATCGATGAAGCTTCTTACAGGTATATAGTACATGCATAGCGTATACGTTTTACATGCTTGTTCCGATGAAAGCACGTGTAGTAATTTTGCTTCCGTGCATGAATAATCATGGTTATTTTTCCAGAGCGTTCATGCCAGAATCAATGAAACTATTCAAGAGACGACTGTATTGGTTTATCCATCACTGTTTCGCTCATTGGCCTCTAGATCCAACTTTTAGATTTGTAAGTACTGTACTCCGCACTATACCAAATAGACTTGGATCTTCACTGAGTCTGGCCAAGGGGCTGTCTACATGACCAAGCTTTCGTTGGTGGGGATGCAACTACCTGAAAATATATACAAGGAGAATTTCGACGTTTCGAGCGAAGGCTCTTTGTCTGGAGTGACTGAGCTTTTTGGTTATTCAACATGACCCCAATAAACGAAACTTCAAACGCCAGTTAAAAGAACTCAAATGTTGTCGAGAAAATCTTGTAGTTCAAGAAGATTATTATTGCTGCTTGAACAACCTTTTGTTTACAATTATACTGTAGTCTACCACAGGAAAAAATCATTATTTTTGCTGAATCGTACACTGTGACTTATTTCAATACATCAAAATCATCCCAGCAAAGCGGGATCATGTAAACAGCCTAACACGATCCTGGAAAGGATTTTAAACCCGTGCATATGAGGACTCGAAGAGCTTCATCTAAAAGATCTTGATTTGTATTATTTTGTCAGATTTTAGAAACGTGGTTAAGTTACATTCAACCCTGGAGATACATGAACTCAGAACAAGGCACTCCACCCAGAAATGTAGGGAGAATGCTTTTCTGGTAAGGACCCTGACCTCAATATATTTAATCCTTGTCGTATTGTAGCGATTGATCAATCATGTAGGAAAGTAATACATTGTTCCAAGTCACAATCAAACCCGATTCCAAGTTCGATTCCGATTTTTAAAACCAGTTGAATGACGCCATTCATTTTGCATATAATTTGGCATACACAAACAACTACAAATGGCTTTCGAGTGACCATACCAACTGTAATTCCGTTTTCACTTATGGTAAAACTGGGCAATTGACACTACAAGTCTGCACATAAATTGTTGAAGTGTCTATTGAGGGGTGGTTACCGGACCGCTAGGGATAATAGTTTAGAATTTATGGAGCTATCCAGTATACATAAAGTTAGTTTAGTTTTGGATTTAGTTTCAAGGTAGATGCATTGCATTTATTATTCAATATTGCACTTAATATACAAATTTTTTTTCAGGAAGCCATTCATTCACAATAATTTGTTATTCTATACTGTCATCCTGCAAGAATTTCTAAACAGAGCAGAAAAACTTAATCTCAGATCGTCAAGGGACACACAACTCTTTTATCGAGTAACTAAGGTGCGTACAAACTGTACATAAATTGCACTGTAGTAAAGAATAGATTTACTTGGGGGTGCAGATGAGGGGTTGTGCAACCTTCGTTAGCCTTCGCAAAGGAGTGCAAGATAGGTATAGACTTTGCGACCTTCTCTGGAGCTCTGGGGAGAATTAGTGTTTTTTTTGTGTAGGATAAACAAAATGAACTCGATTTTTGCGTGACGTAGTGGCTTGTGATATTGCTCAAATATGATCAGAATTTCACAAACTTTAATATTTATATAGGTGTTTTCTCAAGAACACTTGATGTATATTGTTAATGAAGGTAATATGCTTTTCAATCTAGAAATGGATTTACTGATCCATCCCTGTTTTAATCTAATATATGATACAAATGATTTTCTTATTTTCATCCAGCGGAGCATCAGCTGCTTTCGTGCCTGACTTCAATGCAAACTGGTTTTGTTCAAAAATCAAGATCTCCAAAACCTGATCATTATCTTCATTTCATGGAACTGCAAACTCCAGGAACTCCATACAGACCACTTTGGATGGAAGAAAATATAAATAATGTAAGTATCTAGTTTAATAAAATGATATATTATTACAGGGAGCACGGAAAGCCTGCAAGGATGGATTCGCTGAGGATACGCAGGAGGGATTTCATGCAAATTTAGAAGATGTTTTATGAATTAGCCATTCCGAAGTTGATGAGTGGACTGGGGACGAGTGTTAAAAAGTGCCCAAATTAAGAAATGAACCAAATCACTAAAAAGACCACCTCGAAATTAGTAAGTATACAAAGTTTGAAGACGTTTACATGAATACCCTTCGAATAATAAGCTTTTAAAAATTGTTAAATTCTAGCACTTGATTAAAAGATTGTTTTTGGGACGCGCGTCCCAAAAACAAAAATTGCTATACATTTCATAGTAAATATCACAATTTTCGAAAGCTTGTTATTCGAAGGGTATTCATGTAAACGTCTTCAAACTCTGTATACTTACTAATTTTGAGGTGCTCTTTTTAGTGATTTGGTTCATTTCTTAATTTGGACACTTTTTAACACTCGTCCCCAGTCCTCTCATCAACTTCGAAGTGGCTAATTGTCAAAGTGCCAGACAGCTTTGATGTACTATTTAAAACACGACAACGAGTGTTTTGAATAGCTTAAAATACGACTACAAAAGAATACTAATTAGGATGAACCTTAGTATAATCATGCTAATTAAGATGAACAATTATATAATGCCACATGTGTTTTATCAGATATAAAGTCACTCCACGTGACATATTATGGCTGACATGATTTGCCACAAGGTTTATGAATTATTAATGAGTATTTTAAGTACATTAAGTCCAACGCCCAATTTTTAAACGTGGACTTATTGCCATAGTAGCCTTTCACGCATAATCTTTAAACTTTTTGTAAAGAGTATGTAAGAAATGAATCATGCAAAAAATCAGTCATGTGTTTGAAAAATTATGTGTGAAAGGCTAATATAGCAAAAATGTCAAAGTTTTAGAGATCGTGCGTTGGACGTAATGTACATCAAATTGTCTGGTACTTTGGTGTTCATAAAACACCTTCTAAATTTGCATCCTATGAATTCAAGTTGTGTTTCTAAGCCCTCCATTTCTTTGCGCTAGCCATTTTTAAAGTGGTTTTTACAAACAACCCTTCTGCACCCGAAAATTTACTTTTCAAAGTGGTAAAGATACTGGCAGATCCCAAACTATACCCATGTTTGAATGGGCTTTATCATCCAATACTATATATCTTTTTTTGTATATCAGATTCGTCATTTGTTACACCGCGTTGAAGAAACTTTACGTTCTCTGCGTGAACCTCAAGGAGGCAATGTAGATGATCACCAACATGGCGGCTGGGTTCGTACTAAGATAAGAAACACTTTGAACTGGCTTCAAGATGCGTTTGCTATTGATGAACATTATTGGCTCATACAAGATGAGAACTCCAAGGCTCAGGAACATTTGGTGCAAGTTTCGAAACATCTTAGAACATTATTTCAGGTACGGCTTTCATCATTTGTTTATCATTATAATTAAACCAGCGGCGAAGCTAAAACGAGGCTCTGTATAAACCATGGCGACCTACTTTCCGGAAGCGTATATGATTACAATCGTTCAATCAGTCGTTTAATCAATAAATTAGTGAATCCCAGCAAGCAATCAATCAATCAATTAATGACAATCAATTTAATCAAGACAAGCACTCAAGATGAGCAATCAATCGTATAGATCGATAAACTATGACATGCAGTCAACTGTAACAATCAATCAACCAAAACAATCAGTACATTAATCACGATAGTCAGTCGATCAATCATGACAATCAAACCTTACAGAATTAGTTGTACATTTGTTTTTCATATTAGATTGAGGATGCCACACACGAGACCACAATACCATGGGCAGCGGAAGTTGGTGATAAGTCGAGCCCAGGCTCTCATTCTCGGCCACAGAGAGGCAGCATCGAGAGCCTACCTGATTGTAAGAAAACTGAGAAAGGCCTGGAATTGACTTCTCTGGGAAAATACCAGGTCAGTATTTGTTTTGCACACCTTGTGAGCTCTATATGCATTTGCATTGAGAAAAGTGAAGCCAACAAGATCCCAGCCTACCCTTGAGTACTTTTAACATATGTTTTAACACAAACTGTGTTGTTCTCTGTCTTGTATAGATGGCAAATGGTCTGCGAAGATTTGATATTCAGTACAGTGGTGATCCAGACTTACAACCTGCACGGAGTTACGAGGTTGTCTTCTTAGTGAGAAGTCTTCATCAACTATCAATCAGTCTCAATCAAAAGGTAGGTTAACCATATACACACTTGTGGTTGCAAGTGCCTTTCGCGTTCAGGTAGGGTTCGTACAAAACTTGAAAGTTCTTGAATGTCTTTGAATTTGAAAACAATAATCCAAGGCCTTGAATGTCCTTAAATTTGTAAAGAAGTACTTGGAAATCCTTGCTTCAGTTTATGGATATAGGTCTCCAGTCAAAATAACCGGTCAAATTGATTTTAGCTCGGCCAAAATCTGTTTACGACCGGTCATTGATACGCTTACTCTAACAGTGAAACAAACTATTAGAAACTTGTTTCGATAATCATAGTTTCATGTTTTAATTCATGACGTCAGCAATCACATTGGAAGACATGAAAATGTGGCCGGTCAGAATGCCCGGTGAGGTAAAAAAGTGACCGGTCAATAGGCATTTTTAGCCGGTCATTGTCCGTTGACCGATCGTTATTTTGAGCCCTGCATCTAAGTGGAACAGTTTAAAACTGATAAATTTATCCCATAGAAATAAAGATAGAAAAGTTGTAGTTTTCTTCTGTACTTATACTGAATCTCTAAGTATACATAAAGTTAGTTTAGTTTGGGTTTCTTCTTTTAGTAACACTGGAACAGTAAGAGTTAATCCTTACTGAACCTCTAGAGAGAACAGTTTAGAACTGATAGAGCTACCCTGTATAAATAAAGTTAGTTTAGGTTTCCTCCTGTAGTAACACTGGATCAATAAAGGATGAACCTTACTCGACCTCTTGGAAGAACAGGTTGGAACTGATAAAGCTATCCAATATAAATAAAGTTAGTTTAGTTCAGGGTGTTGAAATCATGTGTGTGCTGAAAACATATTTTCCATTTCAGTTCGGCCCTTATTTGTCAACGATTTATACCTCACCTGGCTGGCGTGGTTCCTTAGCTCGTTACCTGTCTCCTGCTGTGCAACGACCGCGCACTCTAAGTCCTGTGAAGCATGTCCAACATCCGGCCAGCGGTGAATCGTCTGGAGAACCTAAGATAAGTCTCCGTTATCTTGCTTCGTATAGATTGTGGGCTCAGTTATTGTTTTTGTACTGTTTTATATCGTGGGTGTTGGATAGACCGTGGTGTGCGGTATTTGTGGTTGTTTTTGTATTACTTTATATGTTTGTATCTAATATTCATGCAGTAAAACCAAGGCAGGAGACTCGGTCACGTACAACTAGCGACACTTGGGAGTAATAACGGTTATAAATGATAAGTTTGGGTGGATTTTGGATAGGGGGTATGGGGTAGGGGGATTGCACGGACCGTCTGAAATCTTCACCAGAAAAAGTCAACATCGTCCGGTAATTTCAAGATTTCTACGATGGTGTTAAAGCAAGGACGTCCTCCACCACTGGGAATTCTGTCCACTCCCTGGAAAGGCTACCTTGCCTTTTTGAATATCTACCCTCTCCCTGGAAAAGCTGCATCGAACAACTAAATTAGCCTAGATCTGGTTATATTATATATAAACGAATGTAGGTATAGACAAATTTCAAAAACATTATTTTTGTATATTGGTAAACAAATGTATACCGCGTGTATTCTATCGTGTGAATGCTTGATACTTAAAGGGCTTCACCTTAAGAAATTGCCATGCATGCGCAAAAAAGGAATGGTTTGCGAGTTAAAACACGAGACTCGAGTTATATACAGTCAGTAACAGCTGAACAATAAATTTCAAAAATTTATATCAAACATTACAAATATAACTATTAATTCCACCAATACTTAGTTTCTGACATGCACAAAATGATTTGTCAACTGGATAAATGCATTCAGGACATGGCCGGTTGTTCAAAACATGCATGCATGGTTGGTTTAATCGTATATAGGTTCACGTGAACGTCCCAACAGCTTTTTATAAACTTTGAAATAATTAAGATAAGAATTTTAGTACGTTAAACGCGCTCAAAACTAACGAGTATAATATACCAGTTGCGGTTATAATATGATTACATCGAAAAATTTCTACTTTTCGATACTTTTCTCAATCAGCACTGAAACAAACTTAAAAAGTATGTTTGGTGCTTGATCTGTAAAATTATGCTAAAATGAAGAGGTTTTAGATAAACACCAAAGAGAAATGATGTCTGAAGTTTTCAATAAGTTCAGTAAATATGGCGTCACTCTGAAATCATCATTGATAATTGATTTTTAATTGACAATTTTTTACTATTATTTTATGTTTCTCAACCGATAAATGCATTTAAAAAGGTAGCCAACTGTATAAACTAGAGAATAAAGCTAAACCAAAGCAATTTCGAGAGGAAGGCCAAAACAGTTTTTGGTTTTGAACATTTTTCATCGCAAATACACGACACTTCGAAAAAAAATTGCTCTTAATTAGATATCTCGTCTTTTCGTAATGCTGATCGTGCATTGAACAACTGACCCTCAATAGCATTTACCGCAAACTATCCTATATATTATTAGTCTTTATGAAAACTTAATATAAAATAACGTAAACTATACTATTACACTATTCTCCGCTAACCGTAGTGTGTAACACCAAAAGTGTCCATCAGCCGTGCGTGCATGCTGCTGATGGTTTCTTTAGCGTCAAGCAACCAGTTCCTCCAAATTCCAAAATTATATCAGCCGAGCTGCCGAAACACACTTTCCATCCGGGGTGCCATCACGTATACTTTATAGTTCTTGGTCCCCCTAACAACACGCACATGACGACTCCTCCATACTCTGTAAAAACACTTGATCCGAAATTATACAGCAGTTATAAAGTATATCAACAACTGTTGTGTCAGTTTCCATCCGGGGGGTGCTGTCGCGTATGTTGTAGTTCTTTATGGCAAAAATCCGCGAGCAATGAAGGGCCTGGAACTGAGACCAGCGGCGATGCAACACGTCCTCGTTCACCTCGTCTGCGCATGTCATAACAATGATTGGAAAACGACCTAAATTCACAAGGCCAATGTTAA